ATCCCCGGCGACACAGAGACACGCGGACAACACTGATAGAGACAAGCGAATAGGTGTTAGAGGGACTCGGGCTGGTGTAGACATGGCACACTTCCTTTTCTCATAGAGATTTCTAACATACTAAAATATATACATACTTATATCTCGCGATATACAATATATAAATATACATCAACTATTTTTTAACTTTGAATTTTTCTTCATTAATTTTCAAGTACCAGCTGTAATCCTAATATAAAATTGAGATGAAATGTATGTGGCATCAAACTATTCGTAACGTGATTGGTCGAATATATCATAAGCATGAAAATATATGCAAACTCTATAGTTTAGGCGCGCGCTTGCGCGCGTAAATTTGAATTCTAGTTTAATTAAAAACGCAGAGTTTTTCGTCTTACTGTGTTTTTTTTTTTTTTTTTTTTCCCTCAGACATTTTAAGTTATTTTTTAGAAAAAAAAAAAAAAAAAAACCGTGCTTTTGACAAAAAAAACACCATTTTCATATATAGTTAGAATATAGTTACGTCATTTACTGGCGTTATCTGTTGACGTTGTGGAGAAACAGTGTAACTACTGTGATTTGATTACAAAAGAAATTTTCTTCAGTCGATAAAGATAATTTTTCAATGAACAAGAGTTTTTAAAAATTCAAAGTAGTTTGATTTAATGAAAGGAATTTAAGATTTTGGTTTGATTAAATAATTAAATGATCGCTAAAACTAAACAATTTATAATTTAAAAAAAAAAAAGTATCCAGAACTATATAACTGACCAATTTAAAATTCTAATAAATGTTTAAATGTAAATGATTTCTTCCGAGACTTGACCAACATCCGAATCGTCCTTCCGCAAATATTGAAGGTGGTTAAAAATCTAACCGGTTAATGATTTTCAAAAACGAATTCCAGTTACTCAACATTATCCAAGGGTCTCTTAGTCTGGCTGGTTTATTTAAAAGCTTTACCGTAAATACTACCTGGACCAACTCTATAGTTCTCATCCTGTAGTTCCAGTAGTTTGTTGTTATTATTGTTGTTGTTGTTATTTGGTTAACATCTTGCTTACCAAGAGTACCAACTCGGAACTTGTGTTACACTCAACCAGGCCGGATAGACAGGTTGTCCAGATTCCACGGAAGGTCGTTTGCTTGCTTATATGCCTGACTCTTTTCATCAGCATCAACATCAACAAGAGCACAAGCTCCTCTAACCAGCACCTCTAACGCCCGACGGCTCTTATTTATCTTTCCATTTAAATAATAATAATAATAATAATAATCATCATCATCATTCATCCGGATATTTTATATTTAATATTTTATATTAATTTATTAATTTACGAGCCTCCCCGTTAAACCTGTCAATAATAGGAATTCGCTACTGAAATTTAATTTCGATTCTCGACTCGCAAAGCGCTAAATTTTTAATATCAATAAACTCTATAATATTAATTTAAATGAATATTCATTAGATTATTAATCCGAAAATTTTTTAATTAAATTAAATAAATTAACATTCTAAAAACAATTAAAATATAAAATAAAGGTGACGAATAATTGGTAGTTCTATTATAAAAAATATTTAATTACTGTTGAGTGATAAAATTCCAAATACCAAATGCCATCAGGTCGGTATTAAATGGATTGATGAATGAATAAATAAATAATTTGTTAAAGTTTTAATAAATAACAAAAATAAAAAAGGTTAAATCGCGTGGTCTGGATTTCGCGCCGTGGGCAGACACGGGTTGTATAAAAGGTACGCGGAGAGAAAGCAGAATTTCTTTTTTTTATTTCCCAGTTTGCTGCAGACTGTCTCGTTCTCTCTTTAGAGACATATTACAAGAGTTAATATTATAATGTAAAAAATCTAAAAGTATAAGCGAGCTTTTAATCTGGATTACGACAGATATTTTCTTTTTTCAACCTTAAATTATTTTTATTTTTATTTTTTTTTTTTTTTAATGTATCGTTATAATTATTATTATTATTATTATTATTTGCAAGTTTTTGCCGGACAATTGTAGGCAATTCATGGGATGAAATAAAATTAGTAAGATGCAAGATGTTGAATGTGAGATGTAAGATGGATGGAGGTTAGAATTAACCGGATATGACGACCGGTAGGATATATCATATTTCTTTTATAAGCTAGAGTTGTCATATAGAGATAAAAAGAGTCACAAAATGGCGTACAATTGAAATTAACAACCATTCATGCTTTTTAGCATAATTTTTTCGAAAATTTTTTTCAATTGTTGAGAAATTTAGATCATAGATGTGAATTATTTTTAATTGAAAAAATACTCCTCTATCATTAATAATCATAAAAAAAAAAAAGTGAGAAAATAATTTTTATCAACGTTATAGATATGTTCAAAATATTAAAAAGTTCTTTTAATTAATTTCGCGCGCTTACTGTCGCGACATCTATGTATGTTATGATCCATATTTTAGATATTATTGGTTAAAATGATGATTTATTAAAATTTTTGCTTAACAAAATATAAGAATCTTTTAAGTGGTCAAAGAGTTTTAAGGATAATTTAGAAAAAATTTTATCAGTTGATTAAAATAATTGGATTATTTATTTTAGAAAAAATTTTTCTTGAAAGCAAAATCAAAAATAAAAAAGTCTAAGAACATAAAATTCACCAAAACACATAAAACTAAAACTCCAAAGCATTCTTACAATAAAACTTGTAAATAAAAAACTCTAAGACTTAGTTAAAAGTTAAAAGACAATTTTATCGAAATAAAGTAAAAAAATAAAAAAAAAAAAAAACATAATCACGATGATCATTTCTATTTTAGGTATACGATGAATCACATGGATGGAAGAGCTCCAAACCCATGGAATGGAATGGAATGGAACGGAATGGAAGAATTTGCCAGGTTCTCAACTGAACCACCGTCCATTGATATCAAGACACCAATAAATTTTATTCTTGCTGATGTCAGGTGAGTTTTTACATTTTGTTTTCAGTTTTGCTCAATTTTTTCGCTAATAATAATAATGACAAAGACAAAAAAATTAAAAAGTTTTGAGAAAACAGTAAAGTAAGCGGTCCAATGAGATTTACCCAAAGTTAAGGCCACCAAAAGAAAAACATTGACGGGTACTATGCAAAGGGGATTTAAAAAGGGGCGAGATGCGGTCAAGGATGAAATCAAAAGGGAGATACCTTTTTTTTATTAACACTTGGACTAATGCAATTTAAAAACCCAAGCTTCTTTTTTTTTTTTTATTATTTTTATTTTCCCTTTCTTCTATCATCTTTCAATTTAAAATTTTAGTTTGAAAAAATTTGTTTTCTTCCAATTAAAAGATATAGAAAATTTTTTTCTTTATTTTGAACTCGTCAGGAATATTTAAAAATATTTTTTCCGCCATGTTTAAGGATAAAAGATAAATTTAAAAATTAACGATTTAAAAATAAAATTTCGATGTTGGTTGAACGTTTTTAAGCAGTTTAAGTTTTTAAAATACTGTAGATGAAGGTCGACAGCAATTTGATTCTTTTTCTTATGACGTCTTTAAATACACGTGTAAAAGAGATAGTTCCCCGTTTATATACATATATATATATATATATATATATATATATACCTGTTAATACATGTTAAAAAATAAAATAAATAAAAGAAGAAAATAAGAAAAAGCTTGAGCATAGAATAATAATAATAATAATTATTATTATTATTATTATTATTATTATTATTATTGTCGTTATGATTATTTTTATTTAAAAAAAAAAAAAAAAAAAGATTTGGTATTTGTGATTCGCGTGTATAAAACCAAGGGGAAGAGAGAAAAGATTAAACGACTGTATATATAGAGACGGTCAAACAGAAACAGTAATAATCCGATGGATCTTTTTATTATTGCTGTTAATTTAAAAGTTTTTTTTTTTTTTTTTTTTTTTTTTCTATCGAAAATTCACATTCCCTTTCACTTTAGTCTTCTCACACATCAGTTGTGTTTATATGTATAAGATGTCTTTAGTTTTCGTTGATTAATAAAACTTTTAAAATGATGACGGTATTTATTTTAAATTTTTTGTTAATATTCAAATTTATATATGTTGTTTGTTATTCACTGATACTGACTCAATCATTATTATTATTATTATTATTATTATTATTAACATTAATATTTCAAGGTTTTTTTTTGTGGATGCTTTTATGACTGGCGGTTCCATAAATTGTTACAAATTTTATTACAATATTTTTGAGATAATTGTCTGGGATTTACAATACTATTAGCTATTAGCTTTATGAAAATTCCAGCAAAGAAATAAATCTCATAATCAATACTAAATGTATCTCTGATTGACTCTGGTTAACAATATTAAAAATTTTTTTCCAATAGTTTACCATGCTATAATTTTAATAAAAATAAAATTATTAGGAATATTAAAAATACTGGTTTAAAAAATGATTAATCAAAGTCTAACGCAAAAACCGCCAGAGAGTATTTGGCAACTATCTCCGCTTCACTGTTGGTAATACGGTTATACGGACGCGTCGGTATAAGCGCGCGAAATTCTTTTAACTTAGTTAAATGAATCTCTCAACACATTTTTAAAGATATTTTTAATGATTTTTAATAATTTTAACCAATAGAAAACTATTGTTTCTCAGTAAAAAAATTTTTTTTCTATGAATAAAATATTTCCTGTTGATGGTTGATACCAACACTATATTACAACCCCCGATAATTACCATAGGCTTTTAATTACTGTAGCATTTATCTACAGACACCATCACGTATAATATACATTCTACATCTTTCTCTATCGTCAATATCGTGTTCATAAACTTTAATGGTTATTAACGTTTGAATATTTATAATAACAGTGTATCGACTATCAGGCAGGCAGGCAGGCAGGAGGAGGAGGAGCGTCGTTTGAAGTGAAGCCGTTGGGTAGGTGGAATATATTAAAAATAACATTTATTAATCATGCATCTCCGAGTCTTGAGTGAAAATAAAAAATAAAAACTCACCCGGTACGAAGAGTTGCGGTAGGTCCAGAAGTTGTTAGACCAAGTTCCGCAGAAGCGGTCGACGGATCGGCAGCGACAAGTTCCGACAAGACCAAAACAGTTGTCGTAGTATTGGAAGAAACAGAATTTCCATTGACAGCACCAGAAGGTGCTGCTCCTCGAGGAAGATCATCTTCGTCGTGCTGATGGAGCTGAAGCTGGGGATAGTGATGGAGGTGGAGGGTCGCGGTATTTCCTACGTTGGTGGTTACCGCGTGTCTCACATTTACGAGATTTCGCGTCGATTGAGGGGTCGCGGGTGGAGAAGGTGAAGGATTCGGAGGAGGATATTCGACTACCTGGACCCGATCTGCTTCACTCTCGTAGATTATTTCTTTGTCGTGGGTGTACATCACTGTTTTTTGGCCATCGTTGTAGATCAAGTCGATCATTTTGTGTCCTAAGCCTGTCGAAGGACTTGACTGGGGACTACGACCATTTTCCTCCTCCTCTTCCTCCTCTTGGTGGTGATGGTGGTGGTGGTGATGGTGCGGATGATGCTGGTGGTGCCGCTGGTGGTGGTGGTGGTGGTGGTGCTGATTGTACTTGTGGTGTATGTGCTCTGTTTCGTGGAGATCCATCACATTGACTGGTTGCATTGTTGCTAAAAGCACTTCGTCATTTTGATTTTGGTTGCTCAGACAGGATGACGCGGGAGATATCGGTCCTTCTTGAACCTACAAATCAGACGATATTAACAAAAGTTATTCAGGGCTGAGTTGTTATTTTTTTTTTTTTTTTTTTTTTTTTTTTTTAAATAAATTTTTTCGAGAGACAATCAAGTTGTCATGTGGCGCCCAATGGAGTTTGGGAAAATGGTCATAGCACCGCGGGAGTCAATAATACGACAAAAATATTTAGCAAGATTTTGTGAGCTACTGATACGGGTTTATTATAAATATTTGATAAATTTTTCAAGTTGAGGCTGTTTTTTAAATTAACAACCACCTTTCAGGGATTGGCGCCCAAAATTTCTTATGAAATACCCTTCAGTGCCTTAAATTTATATTTTTCTTTATAAAAAATGTCTCTAATATAAGCCTTATAGGAAATTAACTAAACCAAAAAAAAAAAAAAAAATAACTAAATTGAAATAAAAATGTATAAAACAAAACTGTCTCGTTAAAAAAAGGTAAAAAATCAATATGCTAATTAAGTGTCTCGGATCACTACATATACTCTTCATTATTAATGAACTGGCTTATTTTATACCAGAGAGAATTTTAATAACCAGCGTTATAAGATCTGGCGATAAGAATGCCCATGACGTGATTTACAACATAATGATTAACACGAAAAAAAAAAAAAAAAAAAACAAAAAAAAATACATACCGGGGACATGGTGGTGTCCTGTATATGAAGAGTTGAGTTATCGGCGTCGTCAGTGCAAGTCGACATCCTTATCAGAGTCAAAAAATACTAGTCAGTACTAGCAATTTAAATGATTTGACCTCAGCGTCAAACAGGCAATGCAACAGGTTAAATATCACAGGAGCTGGTATGTCTATGGCACATCAATTGATGAGGGGCACCTGTACCTTTTAAAGAGCAGAAGCATTCCAGGAATAATTCCAGAAGCATAACAAACAGGTATAATAATACAGTTGATTATAATAAAAATAAAAAAAATAAAAAAAATAAAAAATAAAAAAGGATCGTAAATCGAAAAACCAGAACTTGAAACCACTATGCAAACAAAAGTATAATAATTTCATTCATGTAACTCATTGACGGATGAGAGAACAAGGAAGAGTGGTGTGTACCAGCAGAAGAGCAGGCCAGTTTCATTCTTCTGTTGGTTGTTGTTGTTGTTGATATCCAGCAACCAACCTGGCAAGCAACTTTAAGTAGCCATACGGGAAATAAGGATTGGCGTGTCTGTTAGTGTCTGGTAGTGTCTGGTGTCTGGTCACGACGAGGTTAGCATCACAGAGTTTAAACGGAACAGTTTGAGACTAAAGAAAGAGGAAGAAATCATCAGCATCATCAGCATCAGCATCACCATCTGGGATAATGTATAATAGTAGCAAGCTTCGATACGCTATAACATCAGCAAAAGCATCTAAAGAGCAACCAGGGAGGAGGAGGAGGAGGTAAGATGGAGCAGGTTCAGCCGGTCTAACCTGATTCTCCAAAGGACCCACCTCCGTTTGTATTTCAAGTAGCCGCACGCCCTCGCGCCCTCCTGGCTACTCTACACTACGCTCTTAGATGTATTTGCTTCTTAAACACGGTCAAGTAACGTCTCAAACAACAACTTTGTCTTTCATAGATCGACACTGATGGACCAACTCTCTAACAAACTAAATCTCTCGCTCCAGTCTTCCATCTAAATGGAGATTGTGCTTTTCGGTTAGAAATTATCATCAAGGTCATCCGGTTCGCGGTTTTGTGCAAGTGATTTTTTAAGTGTTCAAGGGCTTTTCTGATGGTGTAGAAAGTGCTGTAACCGTTTGTCCGAATATTCCACAGAGAAACACCTCTTAGAAAGCAGGAGCCATGATATTATTCTGGGGCTTGAGAATTCGATTTCGGATTCCCAACGCTCAGGAGTAGCAGCAGGTGGAATCCAAATTTTTCATTGTATTTTTTTTATTTTTATATTTTTGTTTATATCGTTGAGAAAAACAAAATATAGAAATGCAAAATGTTTAAATTAGATGGATTTTAATAAAAGTTATATTTTTTATTTCATTTTTATAGGTTTTTTTTTTTTTTTTTTTTTTTTCTCTATATTATTAGAATAAACATGGAAAATCCATCAAAACATTGAAACCCATGAATAATTTAAAATTATAATTTTTTTTTAAAAGAAAAAAATGGATAATTTTGTTTATTTTTATAGTTTACCACTATTACAACACCAAAATACTTCTGCAAAGGCTCAAATACGTAATTTATTAAGTGATTTTTAATGCCTCGAATAGATGTTTGTAGTTTCTGGTTTTTCGTAAAGTGTTAAAAAGCAAAAATATAGTTAAGAATAACTCACGTGTATGTGTACAGGAGTGAAGTGATGATCAGATGAAAATTTGAAAACTACAAACTACCAAAGTGATAACTAAAAAACTACCGAATCACATTGTCCGTAATAATTATCGCATTTTCCACCACACCACTTGATAAATCATAGTAACCATAAATGTTTTAAAATTAATACGGAATATATATATACGTAAAACACCGTAGAAAAAAAATAAAAAATAAAAAAAAAAACACACTTAATATCACAGAAGACAGTTTGTCTTCTCACGCATCCTCAAAACCGAAATGAACCATCAGCACAAAACTCACTATAGTTATCAAAGCAGCAACAACAAAAATAGTAACAAACAATTATTATTATTATTATTATTATTATTATTATTATACTATTTAAAATAGTGTAAACTAATATTAATAAGTTAAAAATGAATAATCGGAAGCGAAACGTCGTCGCGTACACACTACACAGAGTTCTCTTCTCTGGAAGAACAACATGGCCGCCTCGACTTGGCTCCCAGCATCCAAGAGTTCCTTTTTCCCCCTTTCTCACCCACCGTCTTCGTCTGAAAAGAGTGGTTCGATCTATACCTATATCGACGTACCATAAAGGTATCTTGCTTTAACTTAAGAGCTTTAAAGGAACTGTTCTTGTCTTGCAGCCGCCTACTGGACCAAAGTCTCTATCCCACTCCGAGAGGATCCAATGTAATATTAAAGAGAGATAAACTTTTCTGTCTCACCTGTGCTCTCCCACTACTACTACCTGCTTCCACTACTCAAGTGCTTCTTTGTCAGTGTGTGGATACTTGTTGGGCAGAAACTTTACCTGCTGCGTGTGTTGAATCTGAGATACCCAAGCCAGCCTCCCACCATTACATTCAGAGCTTGGCTTGACGACGGTCATATCAGCTACACCGATACTCAAATTAACCTGATCCAAAAGTGCTTCCCAGGTAATTTACTTACTTACCAACGCACTTTTTTTACGCTTTTATGAATTTATTATTTTTCAAATTTCAAAATCTCTCCAGTTTCAATTTCGTGACTGATAACGCACCTGGTCCTTGATGTTCCTCTGCTAAATGCTGGCTTTTTTTATGTTTCTCCAAGCTTTAATCAAGTTGGCAGCTTTCTGATGATGTTGGACGGATGCAAAAAATTTTTAATTCCGAGGAGAAGGGCAAAAAGAGAAGCAGAGGATTCTGAGGAACTAAAATAAGAGAGGATGATGATGATGAATAAAAATAAAATACCAAATGATGAGGTTAAAAAAGGAAGATGTGAAAAATGGGATACTGAGATAGAGAGAAGAATCGCCTGAAGCGCTACGTGTAATGGTCGAAGACTAACCTGAAACTTAGCTCAAGTCCAGAATGAAAGAGAGAGAGAGAAAAAGAAAAAAATATAAAAATAAAAAAATAAGAAATAAGATGAGGTTTGTGGAAGGGGTTGTTGTTGGTAAGAAGAGATACGATTGCTATTGGAAAATTTTATATTCGGTTGTGATATATATATATATATATATTTCTCTCAGTCAATGGAGATGTTTTCGATTTCTTCCAGATCACATCTATCGTCTGCAAAATATTGTTATAATTCTCTATTTAAATATTTTTCTAATAATAACCATTTTTTATTTTTGTTTGAAAAAAATTAAGTATCGATATATAATTTTTTTCTGATGGATAAGTTTATTCGACAAAAAAAACTCCAGTAAACAATTTTCTGTAGTGACTAAACAGAAACAGTTTCTGATAATAATATCAAACAAAAATATATTATAGTGGGTTAGACCATTTGAAAATTCTCTTTATAAAGTTTTTTTCGGATTACAATATTTTCTTATTAATTATTAGAAACATTTTTATAACGTTTAAGAATTTAAAAATTTCCATTAAAAAATTAAAACAAAAATATTTTGTTCCATTATAATATTTATTAGCCGTGTCGAATGTTGGCCCCAGGATATTTTAAAAAAATTATTCAACCTTTATTTTCAATTTTCACGGGCACAAACAAAATTTTCTAACAATGTTGAATATAAAATATCTTTAAATTGTAAAAGAGTCAAAAACAAAATTAATAATATATCAGAGTATATTGTTGATAAATAATTAAATAAATCATAATGAAGGAGGTAATCACCGAAGAATGCAAAAAAATAATGTGTATCCTGAGTATTAAGCAGTAGTATCCTATTTAAAAGGATATTTATAAACATATGTATATATGTATTTATATATATTCATTGCCTATCCAGTCATTGGACTCACCATCTCCCATCTCGAGATCTCATTCGCTTAAACTTTATATATAGAGTTTAAAACACTCGAGCATTTTAAACCCCACCATTACATTACATTATACACTCACAGACATGTATGTATATATATATATATATATATATATATATATATATATATATATATATATATATTTATATACTGTGAGTGCATACGTAGTACAGTGCCTATAATACATACTTTAGAGCCTCCGCGGTAACCGCGATACGGTTCTCAACCTACAGCGTTATTTTCAATCGCCATCAGTACTTATTCATTCAGTTTTAACCTCAATGTTAAGGATCTTACGCGTCATTTACTCTCAGAAAATAATATACTCCTCTTATACTAATTAATAAAGGAAAGTGAGAAAAGATGAAATTATTTATTTTTCGGTAATTTTTTTATAGGCTGAAAAATAATTGGATTTTTCTATCTTCAAAATATTGTAATTTAACTAAATCGAATTGATATGATTTTTATTGATTTGTTTTGGTTGTATTTAGAATAAAAGGATATCTAATGCAACAATAGCCTGATCAGTAGTGTGACTTTGATGACGTCTTTTTATAAATAAAAATGAAAAAAAAAAAAATAAATCGGTCTGTTGGTTAAAATTTGTGGGTAGTTGGTATTCTCAGTATTGGGTCTAGTCTTATATATTATCTGTGTACTGCCCAGAATTTTAACGTCTGAAAAGATTCTAGTGACCTGAACTATTATATATATATATATATAGAAAAAAAAGGGAAGGTGCATAGTTGTGTAGATCAAAGGAGATACACCTGTCGAAAAATGTTCCCTACTCCCTAGTAGGCGCTTTACTCGCTAGTGGTCCTGTCCTGTCCTTACAATCTTTTACCTGCGCAACTAACAATAAGATGTCTAGTGTAAGACGTGTTATTATGTCGAGTGCGGAGTAGGCCCTCCCCGGGATTACAAACTATACGAGGCACAAAAATTATCTAAAACGGGATAATAAGAGAAAAGAATCTATACATATATATATATATATTATATATGGGGAAAATTTTAAATCTACCCAAGCAAGTGCTACTACAACTAAGTAAAGCGGATTATCGGATAAGATTTTCCGATTTTAAAAACTTGGAAAATTTGGGGGCCTACCTT